CTTTAAACGTGACTTCCGTGAAGAAGCAGCCACGGACTGGAATGGAGCGCTCAGAGTAATCGAGAAGTTTCACTCGCGGAGCGAAAAGAAGTGACTCGTCAGCAAAATGTTGCTGGAAAAGGTTTTCTTCCAGGATGGAAACATCCTGGCTCAACTGGAAAGAATATTTTGTTCATTGTGTATTTATTCTTTCGTCCTGAGCTTGCTTGGCTAGCAGCATGTAGCGAGATTTGCTCTTTGGCACAGTTTGGTGCAAATGGTGCAGTAGTCTCTCCTTGGAATCATAAGTACCAAAAAGGTTGGCTTATAAAATTTGTTTGAAAAACTGGTAGTAATATTCTAGTTTCAGAATTTTTATCATATTGTGTGGCAAATTGTTCTTGACTTCGACTCCCAATGTCATGTTGGAGCACTCGCACTTACTTTTCTGGTACTGACGTAGGCTATCTCCTCCGACAATAATGTTTTGCCAACAACAAGGCTGAAACGTTTGCCATGTGGAAGTAGCACTGCAGTGAAGGTGCTAGGATTGTTCAATTGTAAAACTGGGTTGATTGCAGGGCGCGTGTACTGCAAAGTACCAACCAAGCGCCCACTCAAAATTTGAAGATAATCGGAACCAATTTTGCATATATATGTACAGTGCATACTTTTTCCAATTTTGCAAAATTGGGGATGGGCGCTTAGTAGGGAATGGGCGGATTCTCGGTATTTTACGGTAGACGTCTGAGTAGAGACTTCAGGCGACTTTCGTTTAGGTTCATTGAAACATTTGGAAGATTCACAGTTCTATTGGCTTTTAGAAAAGATTTACCTCTCAGCAAAATTCTTACCTCGTACACCCGGAACACAAAGTCCACGTTTCGGTATGAGGGCAACAAATGAAACTCACTTCAGGCCCCTCTTTGTGTGTTGTTGAGCTTTTAGAAGCCACTCCAGAACACCATCCTCTTTCGACGTGCTTTGCAGGAAGATGTGCAGGACTTGAAGCTTGGCTGCTTCAGAGGCAATCAGCCCATTCATGCTTGTTCCTGTGAGCCTGCAAAAATAAAACAAATAGATGCTTTGTCAAAATTAGTCAGCAATTAAGGTCACAGATAATGGTAGGCTACAGCCACAAAGCCAGGATTTTACATCGAGAATGACTTTTATGGGGTCAAAAGGGCTGCTAGTTGCCACTTGATTTTAATTTCCACCCAAAGAGAGACTGCCGTGCGTGATGGACTTTACTGTGACCCACCTTCTGGAAAGACCCCACCCCCACCCCACTTAATGCTTGCCCCAAGTTTGTGCTAAACTATAGCAAACTAACATTGAAGAAAACAATTCTACCCTACCTCATCCAACCAGATATGCAAATTATCACCTGTACTGGCAAAATTAAATCAAATTGAATATTAGGAAACCATTAAAAGACGGAATGCAAAATGCAGGGGGGCCAGGATTTGGACTCCGGTACTCCTGATTACCTTTCAGGTGTACTAATCACTTGACTACCTGACCAATCAAGAGACAGGGAGTTTGAATTCTCCATCAGCATATCTGGTCACTTTGACTTCAGAGAACTAAAAAAAGAGTATCTAAATTTCCTTTGATGCCGTGTCTCATGCAGGTACATAAACGAAAAGTAACATAAGAATTCTAGAGGAAAAACATGTAATCAGTTTTTTGTGTAAGACTAGAAAGATATTTGAAATCAAATACCACAATCTAAGAATTAGGTTGTGAGTGATTAGCCACATATTAGAATGCATTATTACAAAACAGATCTGAAGGCACATACTTAAGGGTTATGATTCACACAGGAGTTAATGCAGTAGATAGATCAGAGCTCTTTTGATAACTTATTGCCAAAATATCAGATTGAATTTACTAGGAAATAAATAATTATTTTATGAGTGAATCCTCTTTGAATGGTTAAGGATGCTCTCATCCAACTTATGGTTTATACCCTTCAAAGAGCTTTAGGAAGTGCAGTTTCTTCAGAAGCAGTGGCCATTTTTTTATCTCCAATGCAGGCATAGAGTTCACAGACAGTCTTATTTCAGGAAAACACAAAGCCATTTCAGTTGCTTGCTTGTTGACGTCCTGCTCTCGAGGAGACATCAGTGCTTCACTCTGGATTACATCTTCTATTCGCTCAGCTGGCGTGTCAACTCGCTGATACTCTATCCTTCGGGTTGGTTAAGATTCACGGTCAAAGCTTCGCCAAAAGTCCTTTTCAGTCCGTGCCTTGTTTTCAATTCTGGCTTGGGTTTTGTGAGCTAATCCTTCCGAGGTTGGGGCATGATTCAGGCCGCCCATCTGTGTGTCACTTAGCTGTCCGTACGTCCTGAAAATGTGGTCAGCCACACACCTGACGTCTCGAGCTGATAGTTTTTGTTTAGCTTTTTCCATTGAGGTCACCACGTACCGTCCTCACGAGTTCGTGAACTGCCTTTTTGTCGAGTTCTGTTGCACTGAGGCCTTCCCAGTGTTCGGTTACTGAGTTCACAAATCCTACCGACACAGACGCTGTTGAGTTAGGGTGGGAGGTGCCTCCAACTGGTTCAGTTACTGTCAAGTAAGAAAAGAAACTTAATCGGACCATAATCCCGAACTCAGCTGAAGGCATACACATTTTACTACTAATTGCAAAACAAGAGAGCGGTAATTGTTGGTGGCAAACTAAACAAGACACAGATATAAAATGGTAGTAAGATTTAACAGGCTACTTATACAATAAACAGTGCATTTTACTGGTGCCAACTTTATGATGGAAATGTGCTCTACAATTTCCTGTGCTATGATTTTATCACTGCTTATCCAAAACAGTGGTGCACCGAGGTACCTTACCACCTCGGAGTTGATTAATTTGATGTTAAGCAAAGATCTCATGAAGTTTATTTTTAGTTTGCATGACTTTTTTTATTATTTTTTAAGTTAACCATATTTTACTGTGTCAGCAACTACAACTGCAATGTCTAGAGGCGCTGCAATCCTCTACTTTGACATGTCTTAACATGTGGACTTGTAGCGACAGAGCATTGAGCACTTCATTATATGAATTAGCATTCACCAACAATCGCAGCACATTCACACTTACATGGCCTTTAGGTACTTTTGAAAACGGGCAGTTCCGTCGATTAGAAACAACCTGACCTCCAGAAAGGCTTCCCGCATTCCTTTTTTAAACAACAATTACTGGTATTAAAAAAAAAAAATAAAACATATATGTTTTTTACGTCTGCTCTCAAAGTGGATCACAGATCTCAAACTAATCAGTGCAAAGCTGAAGTCAAATTGTTTTGCACCTCCTTAAAAATGGGCATGCTACTAAAAGGCTGTGCCATCAAAAATATCAACAAGGTACTCTCTTGATCTTGCTAAACGCCTTGAGCTCAGATCAGCAGACAACTTGTTGAGTGACAATTCTAGAACCTGTAACACGGGAACATAGGTGAATACCTCTACATTTATCCCGGACGAGCCCCCACAGAATGGAATCAACGGCATGACAATAAGTTGCACTCCATCAAGCCTGTTTTAGGGATATGGGAAAGCTCTTCCCATAAAACCCGGTCTCGTGAGATATTACTCTGTCGCTTGAGGCTTGGTCATTCTTATGCCACCCATGGGTACCTGTTGCATGCGGCAGGTCCACCTTTTTGCGAACACTGTGGTGAGATCTTGACGATCTGGCATATTCTTGGTCTCTGCTCTGTCCTTGCATAAGAAAGACGCTGCTGTTTCCCAGAATTTTCAAGGTATTGTATTCCATTTCACCCTGCACTAGTGCTTGGCGAGCAGCCGATTATTCCTTTTGAACGTGTTGCTATGTTCCTTGAGAAAACAGTTTTTTTTGCATATAAGTTCTAGCTTTTCCAACATGCACTTTCTATACTATGTGGTCACCACAGATAATTAGGTCCTTCTCGGCATTTTGTCTTCTGCCAGAGTATCTGACTTTTACTTTTACATTAAATAACACTTTACCTCTGTTTTACATAAATATTTAAGTTTGGTGCAGTATGGCCACGTCGCTGTTTCACCAGAAAGCCCCTAATCAATCAATCAATCAATCAACCTCTACATTTACACCCAAGTCTCGGCCAAGACAAACACTATCCAGATGGACAAATGACAAACAACATTTCCATTAGTTTTCACGTTCCACCTCACAAGCTTTTGTTGGTTACTCTCAAGAAATGACTTCAGCTGATCTCTGGCATCACCTGAAGCTGAAGGTACAAGGAAATGTTCAGCAAATGACTGCAGGTACAATACAACATCAGAATATATCTCTTCAAGTGTTGCACTTCGAAGTCGTTTTCCCTCCTTCCACTTCAGTAGCAGCAAAGCAAACTGCTTGAACAAGCCTTGATGTTCACCTGAAGAGCTGCCTGCATTGACTTGCACAACGCCTAAGCCGTCAGCGTTTACTATAAATGGCACATCTGCATGGCTGTTCGGTAGATCTTCATCACTGATTGGCAAGCCATATGCATTGGCTCCTCACTTCTCTGTATGTCGAGCACCGAGTGGACCTCATCAAGTGTTTCCGAATGCTGTCTTGAAACATGTTAACTCCGTAGACGAATTTGGTAAAATAACTTGCTTTATTGTTGATCTAACGGCATGTCGGACGTCCGCTCTTCTCCGCTGCCCGAGCGAGAGTCCTCCTCTTCTCCCGCTGGGTTTGAGGCGCGCGCGCGTAGATTTTTGCAAAGCAGCACCGTCTCGTGGCCCAGTGGCAAACCGTGGGTTACACTCGGCCGTCCTGCCTTACCGACCGTCCCGGTCGGAATCCTCGTCGGAATCTTCAGAGATGAAGTCGTCTGCACTCCAGGGGTTGATCTTGTCCACGGGAGCGATGCTGCTGTAGTGTCTCCGTGTTCGCTGCCTACCGGGAAAGTCTTTGATACGGTAGCGGTCGTTGGGCAGTTGTTCCATGTCAAGGAACGGTCCCTTGTATTGTTTTCTCAATTTTCTGGGCTTATTCCCTGACAAACGGTCCGAAATGGTCAATGTCGACGGTGTGAAAGGGTTTCGCTACCTTCTCGATGCTGTGCAACTTTGCCGGTTTCTTTCCATATGGCGTCTTGTGAAAGAGGCACTCGATGGAGGCAGCGATGTATCTTCTCACGTAGCGTTTTATGCCTGGGAACCAGTACGTTTCCCTGAGTTTTGCCAGGGTCTTGTCCACGGCGAAGTGCCCACTGTCATCGTGGCACAACTTTACCACCCTCCAACGTGCCTCGCTCGGAGCGACCCACAGAAGTTTTTCCACAGAGTCATTGCCTTGAAACTTCTTGGACACCTTTCGGTTGTGCAACTAGTATTTGCTTTGAGCGCGACACTCTTCTTTAGAGAGGTGTTGCTTTCGCTCAAGTCTCTCCTTCCGAGCCATGTTCTTGGGATCATTCTTGACGTTAGTAGCGAGGATCTGCAGACCACTGACAACTTCCATCTCTTCGGAAGGGGCATAAGGAGAACGACCTAACGCATCGACGTCCGCCATCGTTGTGCCCTTCCATTACTTGATATGAAAGGTGAACTCCTGGAGACCAAGCCACCACCTGCCAATTTGGGGCAGAAGAGTTCTCTTGCTTATTGTTGCATGCACTGCATTACAATCATTCACCACTTCCAAGTTGAGTCCGATAAGGTAGGTTGGGAACCTTTCTAGTTTCCACACAACTGCCAACGTTTCCAGGTCGTGTGAGTGCATGGTATCTCTCTTTGTAGTCGGTTGTTCATCAACTGGCGTAGACGACTGGGTGGAGCTCTTTGTTCGTTTGCTTTTGTAAGAGGATCGCTCCCAACCCATCTTTGCTGGCATCATTGTGGACTTCTGTTCTTGCGTGGAACGAGACGTGCGCCAGAATAGGTTTCTCGATTATTCTCTTCTTGAACTCGTCAAACGAGACATCATGTCCTGTTTCCAATCCCAGTGTATTCTGTAGTGTCGTTTAGGAGCAAGGCTTCGTGAGCTTCTGCCTGGTGTGCAACTTGCTTTCCTTTCGCAGAATCTCTTTCGTAGCCCCATACATATGTGGAGCGTTAAAGTCTCCCAGAGTCAGCGCCGGATTTTCTTTTGCAACGTTCCATATCTTCTTGAAAATTTGTGAGACTGCATAGGAAGTATCCTTTGGATTGGAGTACACGTTGCAGATGATTAGGCTTTTCTGTGTCTTGCGTTTGGGCATAATTTCTACGGTGACCGATTTGGCTTGGGCATTTAATTCTATGTCGTGCTGTTTGACTGGTAGATCCCTCCTCACGAAAGTGTGTACCAATTTTCCTTCTGTTTGTCCCATAATTCTGTATCTTATGTATCCCGGTATCGCACACTTGAGGCACGATTCTTGTACGGCCAAAACATCCGGCAGAGAATCGGTGTCCATGATTAGCATTTTGAGCGAGCCAATCTTTGTGTTGATACCCCCACTGTTCCACGGCCACACGCACACTTTACTGCTATCCTCCATGATTGGCATTTAGTCTCGCAGATTCTTGTTCAATGCACGTCATCCGCTCTTCGTTCGTCTTCATACGTTCATCCAGTCTTTGAAGGCTTGCCATTATGCTGCTGAGCGCAGCTTCGGCTTTCTGAGGGGACGAGTCTTCGGTTTGTTTAGCCTTGTATGTTCTCTCCGATGAGCAGCTGGCGCTCGTTTGGATCGAGCTTTCAGAGTCGTCCTTTCCTGACTTCGGTCGGCCGTGGAGGTGCTGGCATTCCGTTGTCGGTTTCCATGTTCGTTGTCGGTTTCCATGTTCTAATTTCCAGTGACGACACTCGTTGGTGTGGGAGCGCTGCTTTTCATTTGTTCCTGTTGGAGTTGTTGGGTTGTACGCATGGCCGTTTCATAGTTCTTCTTGAGGCACGCCAATTCTTCGGTTAGTTTCTTGTTTGCTTTCTCAAGCGCCGAATCGGTAAATTTTTTGGGTGCATCTTTGGCTTGCGGCTCCCTCGTATTTTTGCCTCGTGCGGCTCGAGCCTAGCTCATTGTTTCTTCCTCTTCGCTGGTAGAAGTAGTGGTGCTATCTTCGGTTGTCACGAAAGACTTCTTCGGTTTGGGCCTGTCCTCCCTGAAAGGCTTGTAGCGTTCCCGACAGGTGTTGCTTGCAGTGTAGTGGTGTCCATTGCATATCACGCACTTGGGGGTGCACGTGTAATCGGTCCTCACTCCAGGCACCCGTTGAGAGAAGTCGTGTTCCTCGCCGCAGTTTGGGCATCTGCGGCTGACACCTTTGGAGCAATTATCTGCACGATGTCCGATTTTTCTGCACGCGGTGCATGCCTTCTTCTCCAAATAGATATGGTAGCAGTTGATGCTTCCAAAGATCTTGATGTTGCCCAATAGAACCTTCGTGCCCAGTCTAATCAAGATGAACCCGGATCGGCCCATCCGCTTTGCATTGATTATGGATGTTTTGGGATTGTTCCGCTGCAGTTCTTCCAAAATCTCTTGGTTATTGGTTTGTCGTTCTCTACTGAACACTTTGGCGACAACTATTCGGAGAGTGTTTTCCGAGTTTGCAGTGTATCCATGCGCTCCGTATTCGTTACCCTCATATCGAAATCCCTTGATTCCTAGGTACTTCCCCGCCCGTTCCTGATCGTTTGTATGCACGGTGACCGTGTTGTTACGTACGTTCTTGATAGCATAGTCTTCTCCGAGCGCTTCCCGTGGCGATACGTTGGTCGCTGCCATGATGCACGCAAAAATCTCAGAGGCTTCAGCTTTCCTTAGGTCGAGCCCCTTGATTCCGACGATAATCTCGAAGGTCTTTGTCTCCTCTTTGAGCGACGTTCTAAAATTCTTTATGATCCGGCGGCCTTTATATCCACCAACTAGTTGCCATTTTAATTTGTCGTCGTCTTCTCCTTTTTGTTCCTCTCTAGCAGCCAATTCTTGCTTGTATCTAGCGATGTTCAAGAGGGTAGCGTGATTCTCCGGCTCCCTCGCCATCATGGCGCTAGGCCCAGCGTGAGTCCTAGCTCCCTCCGACAGATTTTCTTTTATAATGGCTATTTCGCACGGAATTTCGTGAGAAAACAATATTTTTCCGTTTCGCTTGATCCTCCGATGCGTAAAAAGTGCAGACTCACCCCCAAAATGTTCAGGACCCGCGGTAATCCACCAGAAAATCCGGAGCATGTGGAAGACACGTCTGCCTATCTCTCCGTCTCCCGTACTCCATCGTGTCCCACGTGCTTGCCAACGCCGCGCCGCGCCTCCTGCTGGGGTGACGGGCAGTTCAGGGGCCCGTGACCGTAGTCGTCGCAGTTGAAGCATAACGTTTCTTCCCTTTTGTTGAAGAGCGGTTTTCTCCTCTGTCTGAGTGGAGGAGGGTCCAGCCAATCCCGGCGCACCTCTGTCCGTGACGCTCTCACTCGGTCGGCTCCGTTGTCGACGCGGCGCCTTGAAGTCGCAAACGAGCGCGATTCAACTTAAAAGCGGTCCCCTTTTAACGCCTGGGAAGCCGAGGACGCCATGTCGTCCAAGCGCTCTACAAGGCGTTTTAAGCAGTCAAGTAGCTCTTTTGGGGATTTGTATGTGCGTAAGCCGACTGCCCTGATAGCGCATTCGTCGTTTAGTCCGGTTATGATGTACTCGATGCATGCTTCGTCAATAAGGTTACACCGACGAGCCTTTGAGAATTTGTAGTAGTACGATTTAATCGGCTTACCTCGCTTGTGACGTCGATCCTCCTTGTCACGTGCAGTTGTTGCGCCAATGTTGCCGACGGAAACGCTCGCCTGAGTTCTTCTTTCCATTCCGACCACGTTTTATCTATTGACCAGAGAGAATTGTACTAGCTCCTTGCCAGGCCCTCGAGCTTCGTAAGTGTGTTGCAGGTTGTCAGCCTGTCAGTCCAGTGATAGATGTCATCAAGGTCGTCGATTCGTCGGATCCACGTGTCAACCGTCGGGCAGCTTAAAGGGAAGCTGAAACGCTTGTAAAAAAAAAAATGAGTTAATGCTTCTTTCCGGCGTAGGTTTTCCTTGAGAATCTAAATATCACCATCATTTGTCTTCAAAACAAAACTAAACGTTAAAAAATCTAAAAACAAGCAGCCGTTCGTTGCCGCAGAACGTCATTGGCTGATGGGGCCGTGACGTCGTAAAAGGACCAGGCGCGATTCTACTTCGCTGTCGCTTGGCGAGCTACCCGTGTGGTTCAACATTCGACACAAATTTTCGAGCATGGAAGGATACTTGAGAACTTCAGTGGGTACTGGTGGAGAACCTCATGTTCCGAGGACTCTGCGTGACCCCGTACGCCTTTGAGCCCTTAGCAAAGCAAAGGAAGGGCTCGCGCGCGGACACGACGAGCAGCGCGGAGCCAGCGGAGCCGCTGGCTTCACAACAGACCGAGATATCCGGCTCCGCACGTGCTGGGCACACAGACTGGTACGTATTCTGGGTTTTCATGTGCGCTTTGTTTAGAGTGATGACATCTGGCCATATTGTTCCCGCTACTTTTGTTTCTTTTTTGTCGTGGAGCGCGTCAAATCTCGTCTTCCTGCACAAGCTCTTGGCACTGACAGTGGTGGCATTTTGCTGCCGGCTATTCTTATTTCTCTTGTAAGCGCGTGCTGTCAGCATTGGGTACCACAAAATGTGGCATCACCTTAAAACAGAAGGACATTGAGGCACTCTAGATCATTCCACCACACTGGCATTTTAAAAGTCTGTCGTCCTGTTTCAATGTGGCAGGAAAAAAAAAAACGGATGCAGTTCCCTCGCTTTATTTTCGCCCGTTGCAAGAGCGCTCGCGTATAAAAGCCACCCGTGTTTGGTGCGGTAACTGTGGTTCCCACGCACATCCGAGTCCAAAGGTTATAGTGCACGCTGCAGTCAATTCGGCCAGTTTCTTTCGATTGATTGATTGAGTGAAAACGTTTATTGGCAATAAACTAAGGGATGAGGAAAAAGGCCGGTAGATTTTCGGCTCTCCGAGCACCGCCATGGGTTTCGTCGTCGTTAGCGGCCTTCCACGGATCCTTTCAAATTTAACGCTTCATCGGCAAGCTGAGTGAAATGTACAAATGCAGTTCTAGAATAGTTCTTGGGAGCAATTTGCGAAAAAAAAAAACAAAAAAAAAACAATGTACTTTGCACGCCAGCAAGTTTGCTTTGCGTGCGGTGACAACAGCTGTTTTGACGCCGCGCGCAGGGTGAACGTCGCCGAGCGAAATTCGTCGCTTTTTTGAGGCATACTTGCTTCAAGAATTCTGGCCGACACGCCTCTACAGACTCCTAACACACACACAAAAAAAATATGACTCGTAAAAAAACAAAGAAAAAATAAACATTTGACAAGAGTATACCACGTGCTCATGTGGGGAATGTGTCCCGATAAAAGGAGAGGAAGACTCCATGTGTTGCCAGAGGTAGCAGCCATAATAGCAAAGCAAAGAAGCAAGTGCTGCACAACAGACACCTAATTTCAAACACGCTTGCCTGAATGAAGCAGTTCTTCGAATAGCTCTGGCAAGTAGGAAGAACGACGGGTTCAGGCCGTCCTACCTAATAAAAAGATAAATATAAAAATTCTTGAAAACAAAATTGTTACTTTCCTTTCCTCACTCTTCAGCCAGATGCGATACACAGCATACAGGCAGTTTGCATTCCTTACATGAAAACGCCTGGGAAAAGGGAACCGACACATACTCCCCAGCTGTGTGCTCCACAGGATAAATAAGGTGCAGGTACCCGTCTGACGACGGTACCTACACTGGCTTCAGGCATTCTTACTGAAAGTATGAGGTATGCAGTTTTTTTCCAAAGCACCAATAATAAGCTATGTGAGAGAACAACAGTACAACACTTATACACCAAGTCTGAACCACCACATCTTGTGCTCACAGAAAGGTTGAGTCACAAAATACTGTTATTCTTAAACACCAGATTTTCTCGAAATGTTAACATGCTCATACAATTCAAAGTAATGTGCAATAATGGTTTTTCATCACCCTTTCACATATTTAATTACCTTGAGCATGCATTCAAGTGCAATATATTTTCTGTTGAATCTGAAATAAGTTCATTCGTTTGTGTTTTTTATACATGGCGTCAGTACGCCCCTCTTTCTGGTAGGCAGAGGCACCTCGTTAACGCAGCGGAAACTATGATCCCACGCACCCTTTCTCCCAAGTCCGACCCTCCTTCTGGTGTTCAAAAGCATCTTGTGAACACAGCGGAAGCCACCCTCTCGCACGCCCTTTCCCCAATTACGTTTGGTCAAGTGACATTAGTGCTAGCTGTGTATGTGTAACCACTGCCTTGCCCTTTGTTTCAGGCCGGGGGTAGGGACCCATCAAGCTGCAACCTTGCAGATTATTTCCCTCGCTCACTCGTCACATCTGTGATGGTGTGGCGACATAAACTGATCCGATTTGAAATGCTAAGTGAACAATCGGTGCTAAACATGAAATGGCGAGTTAACAAAAATGTTAAAAGAGGAGAATGAGCAAGATGGCAAGGTTGTGCCTTTCTCATTGACACAGTCACAGCTGGACAGGTACCATTGAGGGTCCTGAATTTAGCTGGGTGCACATGATGAGAGACTTGGAGCACGCCATTAGGAGGCAGGAGAGGGGGGGAGGTCGCACAGGAATGTGGGCTTGTAGGAGGGAGTCCCCCGACTTGTGGAACCCAGACACCGCGGCCACATCGGCAAAAATCTTCCAGTGTTTGTCCGAGATGGGTACTGAAGGGATAAAAGACGAGCTCCACAATCCTGCACCTTGTTCATAGTGTATGAAACAAACTTTATCTGTTAAACCTTGTCTTGTGCTTTTGGACCAGCTCCACCTTTGAAACCTTCCTTGCAGAGTTGCTGAGCGGCGCTGGGTCGTCAGGAGTCATGGCAACACAGGCACGGAGTGCCTTGTTCTGCACCCTCTCCTGGACTGCCTCAAGGAGCCTTGCTATGTAGCCTGGAAGAAATAATTTAGTGCAACATACTGTGGTTTTGTGTTTTTGATGTAAACCGATAAACCCCAAAAAGTAATCAGAGTCAGTTTTATCACAATCCGTCAATACAGAAAAATCTCGAATCGAAGCTGTCCTTCTATAAGAAAAACCGATGCTTCACTCAAAGGAATCATAACCTACAGCTTTATCTTGTCCTCACCCGGAACCACGCTCACATTGAACTGCCTGCCTGGCTGCTTATTTCTCTCCGAGAATTACACTCTCATCTCATTTACTTCTTTCATCGGTAGAAATGTTTTTCAAGTACATATCAGGATCATCCACATGTTCGCTGGAGGCTGAGATGTCCCATGCCTGTGTTCAGAGTTTTTCAGCATAGGCCTCAGTAAATCCAAATTTTTGTTTCAACACAAAAAAGACACAGAAAGATATTGAGTCTGTGAGGGGAAAAAACACTCCCATATTGAAAGAAAAGTGAACTTTGAAAGAACTAAAACCCTAAACACAATTTGGTGGCAATTGAGCAGCCCCATACAGCACTGTTGACAGTCACTCCTGCCAATACTTCTGTGAACTTTTTCACAAAATCAATATCTTTTTTTACTTCCTTCAATTGAGTCCTTTTTTAGGAACATGGCAATCTATATGGTTCTAAACAATCAAATTGGTACAAGTTTTTCTCACTTCTATGAAGCCCCCTTCCGTGGACATGACAATCAATGTGTGTATGGGGCTACGGGCAGTTCCTCCAAAGACAATTCGTAGCGCGTCAAATAGTAGCAGGGCAGTTTGTCTTAGGGCAATTCGTGGTGGTGACAGCTCGTCAGGCTATTTATATTTATATAAATAGCTTCATCTTGCCGTCCTATTTTTATAGAGCCGAAAATATTGCTCCCAACCTAAAAACCTCGGGCGAGGCACTCTTGACACAAATGTTTTGGAGTCTCTACTATAGCTGGTCGAATTGCTGTTACTTTCGCAATAAACACTGTCTGACTTCCCAGGACTCCAACAAAATCTGAGTAT